CTCCGTGCTCTTGCTGCCACCAGGTTTTGTTTTATGTCTTTCTGCATCAGGCACTTGAAGGTGGACAATTTGTTTAGGCAGCTGAAGATGGAGCTGTGCGAAGCCGAGGATTATGAGATTGCTGGGTGATTTGTGGGTTGGATCTTCTCAGAGCCCCAGCTCTAACATCCAACACTCGCTATGGTGTTAAATTATGATACCTAAACCATAAATATTCGGAATTAAGTCCCAAGAATGAATAGATTCTTTAGCTTTTGCAGAATCATGGTTTTGGCTTTCAAATGAATTCAGCTGCATGAATTTACGATCCCCCCCCAATGCCAGTTTGTCTTTAGGCTGTGTTGCAACAGACAAGATAGATATGATGATGTAGGATTTAGTAGAAAGTAGCATGAAAATACAAAAACTACATGAACTGAAAATAAGCAGCTCTACTTTTGAAAACAACCAGAGCTTGTCTTTTTTTTCTCCTTCCGTCAGTGGATGACTTTTTCCAACTAGCCCCACATTCCTTTGTGAAACTTATTGAGTCAGTGAAACTGTGGGGATTTTTTTCTTCCACTCTTACGCACACAGATTCACAGAGCGGTCTACATCTTTATAACGTATTCCAGACCGTCCTTTAATTCAAAATGTCTCTCGCCGAAACACATCAGACCAGAAATACATGTTCTCTCAGCTTAAAAAATTAACACTTTGATTTCAAGTTGACAAATTCGGTGCTCTTAACATTTTCAAGTAGTTGTATTGCATTAAGGTTCAGACTGTTTGACCTGTCCATATGGGCCCTTTAAACACAGGATGATGGGAAATGGCACTGTTCTGTGTTCCTTTGAACGCCGCTGTAGACGGCAGCTCTGAGAAGCTTCACCTTGAACTGATAAAAGCAATGAATTATCGCTTTGTTTATCCTGCTGCTCAAACTTGGAGTGCATTATCAAAGGACAGAGTGTATTTTTAAAATCTTGTAAATCTGGTGAATTTATGTCACCGTGACTTGGGGACCTTACCTTGGCCTTCTGGTTTCCATTGGGATTGAGGCTCTAGTCCCGTGGTCTGTAACTGTGAAGTATTGCAGGCAGGATTTAGCACGCTGACCCCTGGCTCTCAGAGGGGTGCTCATGGTCTTCCCAGGCTCAGGGGAGATGACCAGAGCATTAGGCCGGGACCCCTCCCTTTGCAGTGGTCTGCTTTCTAATCAAATGTGTCTGGGAGTGATTTGGTTTGAATACTGGTGGCCCGGTCGGATGTGATGGTGTGTGATTGACGGGCTGTGATGCAGAGCAGGATGTCGGCAGGGTGAAAATACCATTAATGTTATTGCTCATTTCTTAAAGTGGGGGTGGCCACACTGTTGGTGGAGGTTTGTCACCCTCATCCTCCCCCCCCCCCCCCCTCTTTATTCCCCCTGTTGCACTATGAATGCCCTCTCAACCTGAGCTTCACTCCAGTTACAAGCTTCTTCACTGATTCTGAACTTCACTGTTGCTCAGAGAGCTTCACACAAAAGTGAAGTTTTAACCGCTGATAATGACATCAGTTCACATTTCCTTGTTATGTTATAGCAGCTCTGCTACTGCCGTTGGTACAAAGGAAGAACAAAAACATCCCATCATTGTGTTTTATGGCCCATAATTGCGCGGTGGGAGGCTGTGCCCCCCAGGTCTCCTCCTAATGGCTGTTTGTGTGTTGTTTTAGTGGCAGATTTACATGTGGGAGGGACGTAGGGCGGGGATTTACAACCAGCAGTGCCCCTGACGGGCTTAGTGAGTGACTGGCCCTCTCCCTGTGTGTTCCAGGTGATAGTGCAGTCTGGACGCCAGCCCAGCGTTCTGCAGAAACTGTGTCAGCTGCCCTTCCAGTACTTCAGCCACCCACGCCTCATCCGAGTGCTCTTCCCCTCCCTCATCTCCGCCTGCTACAACAACTCCCACAACAAGGTCATCCTGCAGCAGGAGATGAGCTGTGTGCTGCTGGCCACATTCATTCAGGTAAATATGGGAACATGAGCCCATATGTGGCATCTGTTTGCACATAAATAAGTCATTATTTTTCACACAGATGCACACAGATTTCATGGTTGTAATACCATGGCCAAAACAAATAAAAGATGTACTAAATATCAAAAACAACATATGTGGCTTTATCCTTTTAAATAAAATGTCCAAACACAATAAATTATTTGCATGGGCTCAATAACAGTTGCTTCTCTGGAGCACGGTGCATGTGTAACAAGCAGGATTTTACAAAGATAAATGTTTTCCTTGACAGTGGATTTACCTGCCACCGGTTCAACTCTCAGTAAACAGCTTGTCTCCTTCATCTTCCTCTGACAACACGCCCCTCACCACTCTGCAACCACCACTGTTTAGACACCGATTAACTTCCATTCAAAGGGGGACAAGCTATTGTCATTTCTTTCAAACAAAGCAATAATGCATGGGGTCTTACCCCGCTGCCCTTAGTGTTGAGTTAACCCCAAGAACATTCCTCCAAGGTTTGATCCTAAATGTCTTTATCACTCATTATACCAAAGATATTAATTTTGAATAGTAAATTATAATGACAATTTCTGAAAAGTAAAAGTAAACCCTGCATTATACCGTTATAGTTGGAACTAATGCTTCTTATATTCTCCCCTAGGATTGTGCTACAAATGAGAAAGATTCAGACAACAAAATAAAGCACACAGGTAAGTTATTTTGATAAATATCAAATGCATAACCAAAAATGTTATATTGTATTCATTTTATATATTTGATGATACATGCCAAACAGGCATGTAGGTTTCCCATATTCTAATATTAAGATAAACGTATTTCTTTGTACATTTCTTTGTGATTAATGTCTTTTATTTGAATGAAATCCTGATTCTTGCTAGTTTTAATAGGTTGTCTGCCCAGTATAATGAAGCTGTTCTTCTCTGTGTGTGCAAAGTTTCCCAGCAGCTGGATTACTGTGAGTTGTCCAACCGCTTTCCAAGAGATCAGTGGGACTCGGCACTGCAGTTTTTTTTCAAGAAACAGGAAGAGTGATGGAGATGCACACTGTCCTCAAGATGGATAAGCGCAGTATAAACACTTCTAAAGAAACGTGAGATGTGAAATTGGTTACGTTTTTTTGTTCCTCACCTAAAGTCTGCACACTAGTTATATGTTCTCATATGTTCTTCAAACATTAAGATTGTGAAGCCTTATCCTCAGTGTGTGGCTGTGTTTTGATTTATTGGAAATCAGATTGGAGTTTATGAGAAATTTGCACAAAATGTATTGTTGTTCTTTGCAGTTAGAACACATGCACATCTTTTTCATTTAATGTCTAAACGACTCGTCTGTTTTCTCTTTGTTTCTGTTGTAGATAGAAATTGATGTGTTTTCCAAGCAGTTAAACCTGAAACATTTACTTATACTGTAATTTATAATATGCCAAGTGTTTTCATTAATACTGTTTGTGTTCATTATTGTATTTGTCTCATGTTTGAATGTGAATGGCCAGAATGTTATTTTGTTGTCTTCGTACATTAATGCCGGTTCAAAGTTACTGTACCTGGCCTGCCTTTATTACAAACTTGTGTTATGAGTTATATTTGTTATATTTCTCTGTTAGGAGGCACATGCAAATTAATATAATTTATTGACTTAATCATGCAAAATAAAAATATTATGGCTATGTATTGTTCTTTGATTTTACTGTGTGAACTGTACAAAGTGTATTTGACCATTGAGTTAAAAACTATTAAGACTCGGTGGTTGGTCTTGTATTTATGTATTTTATAACCCTCAATTAAATGAAAGAAGATGTCCTTATTTGGTCTATGATTTGATAGATACTTGCATACAAACAATGCTTTGTTTAATGTCAGAGAATGTGACTTCATCAAAAATGGTGTGAAATGTAAAAGGAGGCAGTCTTCCTCTGTACTTGCCTTGCACTGATTTATTGAAAGTAAATTGATTGGTGTATTTAACATATAGAGATTAGCAAAATAAGGCTTAAGAAATAAGATAGAAAATAACTCTAATTTAAAAAAAAAACTTGCCTTGCATTGCAGTGTGAAACCGCTGAAGCATTCATTCCAGCTTGCCCAGTTCAAATTTGAAGTCAGTGTTGATGTTAAATATGTGGAAGGTGTTGAAAATGAATATTCCTTACATGTTTAAATGTTGTGTTTTATTTTGAAATGTATAGTGAGCATATATAATGTAATATTTGGGGGCAGTTAGATAACCCTGTTAGGTAGCCTACGTTTCAAATTCACATTATCTTCTTAAATGTAGCTGTTTTAGAAGATATAATTATTAGCATGTCTTAAAGCCTTAACAGGATTTTGACTTTCAATGAGACTCTACTTCCTTCAACTGATAAAAGCCGATCCTCCCAAACAAATTGTTGAGGTGTAGTGTGTCAGTCCCGGCTTGACCTGCATGCTCTTTTGTCCAGCGGCTATTTGCCGGTCAGGATTCCTACTGGAATGAAAATAAACTGAAGACACGCCAGGATGCGTCCGCGGGCTGGGAGTCCCCTCTCGCGGCTGCGCGCTTTGTTTTGGGTCCATTCAGTGTATCCTGCAGGTGATGCCAGCAGCAGATAAGCGGCCCCGCTGCCTCTCCTCTGTCTAGACGTGTAACCATAAGCCCCAGGTCGGTATGATACTGTGACATTTGTCTAAATAAGAAACATTTGATCGTTGTATCACCATTACAGGAAAACCGCATTATGCATATTGATTTAAATGTTTGTTTTAACGCCATGATCTTCTATTTTATTTTGTAAGGAAGATGTTGTGATGATGCGTATTCATACCTCAGTCTGTCGCGTCTAATTCAGTGACCTATGACAGAGGGGCCAAAAGCTTAATAATATCTTGTCAGCCATCAGTCACTGATCCACTTGGCTCAGAAACTGAGCAGGCCTAAATATAAGCTGAGCTTCTTTACTGCCACCTCAGGGTTTGTGACCTGAAGCTGACAGAAGAGCATCCAAAAATGCTGAAATATAGCTTGAGTTTAAGTATTTATTTGTATACGTTTTAGCCCTTGTAAAATGTTGAATTGTAGTACAGAAGCTGGGAAGCTATTTCAACTCTAACCTCCAACTCAAACAGTGTCAAGCATTATAAGCAGCAGTTTCCATTGACCTTTAAAATGATTCATTTAGCCTATTTAAAAGAAATCTTCAGTTTTACGAAACAAATTGAATTTGCATGCAATCATCATTTGAAACTATGGTTTTATTGATAAGCTCGGGCTATGTCTGTCTTCATAATAAATAATAATAATAACTTATTTTCTGTTTCATTAATTTACAAGAGACGATATTGAAACTTACAAATCATGCACATCTACACAGTTTGTATAAACACAATGTAACCTTAGGACGTCCAATACAGGCTCACGTGTTTGAATCCCGTAAAATATTCACCACGCTTTGGCCAGTTCAGGTATTGGCATTATGGTAAAATGTCCCATAACTAGAAGCCCATTAAGTCCATCAACAGCCGTGTGTCCTGCCGAAGTGTCCTTGAGCAACACAATGAGCTTAAACGGTTAAATGTAAAGGGAATAGTCCTCCAATCCTCCGGTCGTCACATGAATGTATCCTGCAGCATAATCCATCCTGGTCCTTTAATTCGTTTTTCTTTGATTGAATGTCACAGAGGTCTCTGCGCGTCCCCATGCAGAGGACGCGGGTGCGCGCTCGGCGGCTCCAGCTGACCTCGAGGCCTCTTCACGTGTCCACGGGACTCGGCACCATGCTGTTCGGTGTGTCCGGTAACTGAGACGAGAGAGAGGTCACATCACTGCCCGAGGAGTTGCCCAGAGAGCCCGACTCAGAAAATGACACCTGCCAGAGGAAGTAACGGAAGTCAGGTCTAGTCAGATCAACAACAATACATATTTTACTTTCTTTTTTTAAACAGATTGTTGTATTCTCACTTGCCACACTCATGTGAATTTGCTCATGACCAGGACTTGTATTGAAGTTAGCCTTGTCTATATTTTCTTTACATTTATATGGTTTTCTTTTTTTTCACAAAATATCAGACCGATCTATCAAAACAAATATAGACTTTACCGTATCATCATATCAACTGACCTCACAGGAGTCCTACACATAGGCCTACAGCTTTTTTTATGGTTTGCACTTGAAATCAAAGGCGTCAATATTACTAAATTATCCAAGCATTGTTTTTAAACGAAATGAAGGACATCATCAGCGTTTCAAAACGTCTTAATTAAAGAAACAAGTTAAACAGTCTTATTTTTTAATTCAGTTTTAAAACTCTTCTATTTATTTTTCTGAATGTGAATTTAGCAGTCCCTTTGTATGATTTTAAACAGCCTATCATTTTATTTAATCAGAATGTGTTAAATGTAATCCCATACCAGCTGTTGGAAGGCGGGCTGGTCCAGGTCGCTCTGCAGGGCGAAGTCGCTGAGGGTCTTCCAGGGGGGCTGGTAGGTCTGCACCTCCACAGGATTCCCCTGCACGCTGTTGTCGTGCCGGATCGGACTGCCTGCCACCAGGGGGGTGCCTGTCATGCCCTGCAGGTTCTGCAAGAAGAACGAAAAACACTTAGTTCGCCCCAAATATTAGCCAATGATGCAGTCTGGTGTAAAGCCACTTCGGGTTAAATATGTTCTGCTCTGCAGCCACTACAGAAATAAATAGCATAATTTTTGACATTTAAGAATTATGAGCAAAAACAAACAAAAAATGCAGATAGGATGTAACTTCTTTGTTACAAGTAGGCCTATGTAGAAATGCATTCTAAAATCAGCCATTTGTATTTTACATTTTTTAAATGTTTTAATTTGCCTTTAAAATGGCATATCTAATTCTGCAGTAGTTAATATGATACAATGGATGTTGTTTCTTCCAATGTATGTAATGTACATTTATTTTCTATTTAAAAATAATTCACAATTTACCATTATTTTCTGATTTATGAAAAATAAAGGCTAAAACCTGTATATTTAAAATTAAAATTGTATATCAAATGACGTCAAAACAACAGTGTTTGTTTTACATGTTATTCTTATAGAGTCATATCCTTTCTCACAATTAACAGTCTGTGTTTATGTAGGATTTTTAAATATTCAATTAAATCAAATTGTTATCTATAACAACATAATCTTTTAAAAATGATTCCCTTCTTTAATTTATCCAGCAGAGGTGTGACAATAAGATTGCATATGTACATTATTCGGTTGCCTGATCATTCACACAACTTGTATTGAGTTTCCCATGTTTTTACCCAATTAATCACGTTTAGCTGGGCAATTTAACAGTATAGCCTTCAGAAAATAAAGCCTAATAAGCAGGAGTTGCCAAATACATTGGGTTGTGGAATAGCATAATAATTCAATAAAAAAAGAAAATGCATAACATTACTCACGGTTTTCTCGCTGTGGTGCTGTGATTGCAGATGCTTCATCAGGATGGTCCTCTTCTTGTCTTTGCAGCGCTTGTTCTGGAACCAGACCCGGATCACCCTGGGGCTCAGGCTGGTCATCTCCACCAGCTGCTCCTTCATCAGAGCGTCCGGTCGCGGGTTGGCGTTGTAGCAGGTCCGCAGGGTGTGGAGCTGCTTCTCGTTCAGCACCGTCCGGATCCGGGTCGTCTTCTCAGTCTTGTTGTGGCCGTGGTTCCGGTGATGAGGAGGATGCCGGACTGACACTGGTTCTGAAGGAAAATATTCTTTTGTATTAGATACTTAAAATAGTTAGAAAATAAATACAACAAAAATATAGAAACACGAAATTAAAGAAACAAATTACCATCTGCAATTATAGAAATATTAGCTTTTAAATGCCAAGCTATTATAAGACTACACCCATAAAACGTTGTAGGCCTACACAAACTGTAGCCTATATAGGCCTTCCATATGCAACAATACAGAGGATCTATATAGAAAATATAATAAATATATAAATAATTGTCATCATTTATGTCAGAACCAAAATTATAACACGTGATATGAAACATTAATGCCCAAACCAAATATTCTTTAGTGGACTTTCTTCAAAAAAACGTTTTCAACAAAGTTAAGCAGTAGAATAATAAAAATAATAATAGTAGCCTATTGCCAATAATAATAATAATATTACTAATAATGCACACGTGTAGGCCTTTCCAGGTGATTTTCGTACACTATTTGTGATTAATAATAAACGGTGTGTTTCCTACCGGAGATGTGCAATGGTCGGCTGTGGACGCTCCCCGGGCTCAGCGGGCTGCCTGCAGAGGCCCGCTCCACCAGCAAGCCGTGATCCGCCCGGCACAGAAGCTCATCGTCCCGCAGAGAGAACTCGTCCCCCGGCAGGAGGTGACGGCTGCACACCGAGCACCGAAAACACTCCATGTGATACACGTTATCCCGAGCTCTCATCACCAGGTCGCTGCTGCAGAAGCCCATGTTACACTTTGCACATTTGATGCCAAATAACCTGAAAAGGACCAAGGAGACTGTGTTGGTCTCATAGCCCTAAAAGTTGTTGAATTAAAGGAATCTGATTTCGATCTCTGCCCATTAACAAAAGCTTAAACAGCTGTGAACTTGACAGAAATAAATAATATTAATCGGAATGCCTGCAACACAAATCTAATTCAGGTCCAACATACACAATTTCATTAGCACACCATATTTGCAGTATTATTAAAGGTTAAAAAAGGTTTAATGACATATACACAGCTATAGTGAAGTTGTGCAATACACATATTAAGTCACAGATTCCTCCAACAATGCAACATAAATATTTAAAAAATACAAAAAGATCAGGAGTTTAGGAGTTTAGGAGTTTAATCAAGCATTATAGGATAATAATAATATTGAATTTCTTCTAAATTGCTCCCTTTAATCCCCAACTTTCTCTTTTCTTTTCTCTTTCTGAACATTATGTAAATGCTGCATTACCTTGCATAATCTCTTTTACAGTAAGTCTTTCCGTCCCGGACGAAGCAAGTGCAGGTCTCGTCCAGGTACTGGCTGCACTCTGCACACTTGAGGCAGGCTGCATGCCACTCCAGGTCCGGGGAGACTCTCAGGATGTACTGGTCGTGTATCTGACTTCCACAGCCCACACACATTGCGATTCCCGACTTCTCTGCGGAGGGGAAGGCGTTAATGCAACACTGTGCGCACTGTTTTAATCCCCATGACATCCCTGTTAAACCCCTTTTACCCCTTCACATTAGGGGGAAAAAATGCTGCGTGTGTCATATACATATGCTATGTGGGTATTTCCAGGAATATTACAGAATTATTATAGAAAGAGTCACAGGAGCTAAAAATATCACCAGTAACATACGGCATGTGTCACTTAAAACGCACGAACAGATACTATAAGTTTCTGTAATGATTGTTATATGAAAATTAGATTGATTTTTCGTTAAGACACCCAGTTGAACACGCCTAAGGTTCAGGTATTATCCTGCAAATGACGAAATTAATCGTGCAATTAATCTTCAAAGTCAAGAAACACGCCGGATGTGTCTTAAAAAGCATACTAAAAACTGACAACAGAACCCCAGAATGGCAGTAAAAGGAGGGAATGACGAGTAACTTACTTTTTGAATGATCCCCCATATCATCCAAGAAAGAAGTATTGAGCAGGATATCCACCATACAAGAGAAATAGCCCAGTGCAAGCCGACAGATGGAGGAGAAGAACGGCAGAGGAGACCGTCCCGTCCCTGGCTGGATGAGAAACTTGTATTCCTCCACCGAGAGGTGGGGAGAAAACAAAGATCATCGACCAGTGACGTCTGCAGACCTGGACCGCTGTTGGTCCAGGGAGAGGGTGCCATGCAAATCTCCTCCAGGACCCCTGCTCTTTTTTCATGTTGACTCTTTGGACTGGCTGGGAGAATTTTTGTTGTTGTTGTTTTTTTTGTTATCTTTTTGTCCAGCAGCCCTGCGACACATCTCTATTACTTTAAGAGCAATTTCGCCGTTTGTTGCTCACAGCATAATTTGTTATCGACTTACTGTAACATAACGTGTTAGTTATTGTTATTGTCTTATATCACGTTTTTTATAATAATAATATTTATTTATGGGCTCTTATTCGTGTTTTTTTATGGATCAACTTAGTATCCTATTTTTTTATTAGGCCTACTGTTTATTTTGTGAGTTTCTTAGTTTTAAAAGAATGGTCTTTATAAAAACATCATGAATTGATCCATCCCCAAATACATTGAAGACAATGTTTTACTGGTTAGGATTTAGTTTAGGACATAAATGATATAGATTGTAATATATTTGTATTATTATTATTATTATTATTATAGTTATTATTTTTTTGGTGGTGGGGGGGGGGGGGGGGGGGAATTGTTAATTGTTTAATGTAAAATCTTTTTAATCAATCTATTTGTTTTTGTTTTGTTTAACTGGCTTTAATTGATAACCAATAACCTCACCCTACTAGAGGGAGCCCTCTACTGGATGAAACTGAGATCTTGGGTCCACAGACCCGATCAATAAAAGGCACTAAGAAAAGGGTAGTTTTTTTTTGCCTATAGTCTACTTTATCGATAAATTAGTAAACCTTATTTGTATAATCTGATAATGATAACAATAATAAATAGCGGTCATATGGGCTGGTTTTTGTGTATTTTGGCTACTTGTTTCCTCTGCCTTTATCCCTAATTCACTCACGGTTTGCGTTTCAAGTCACTATTATATCTAACATACCAAAAAACCTTTCATTTAGGTAGGCTATTGTAAATAATTCTCTAGTAGCCTAATAATGATTGAATAAACATGTTTTAAGCCTAAGTGAAGGCCTTGTTTTTACAAAATGAAAATGTAATATTGGAAGATTTAAAAATGAAAATTATTGTAATTAAAAAGCTCACAGCACTCTTTGGGACATGGGCTTTATTGTGTTTATATGTTTATTGGTAGCCTAATTAAAAAATAAAATGTCTTTTTAATTTACACTTTAGCAATGTTTTTATTTTTTAACCTGACCGGAAGTGTGTCTTAATCTCGCGACAACTCGTTGGAAACGTCAGATCACCTTTAACACAGTTTTGTTCCTGCAGCAGCACTGAGGAGCATCTGAAGGGTCCAAGATGAACAGAGCTTTCAACAGAACAAGTCTAAAACAGCTGGTAAGAGTATGACAGTTATACATTTATAACTTACACATATATTGTATTGATCTATCAACTTTAAACAGACAAAGATCTTGAAACATGCCACTCTGCTTGCTTGTTATTTTGCAGTCACTGCTAGCTTGCTAGCTAATTAACACATTACGCAAAACATGTTTGTCTCTCAAACGGTGGTTTTATTTTATATACGTGTGTGACAGCGTTGTTTGACTTATTCTGACAACAACATTGCATAAACCTTGTAAAATCTTAATTATATAAACGAGCTTTCTGTGTTGAGCTAGCGCTAGCTGGTGTTAGCATAGCTACTCTCGCAGTTATGAAACCTGTCGATAAACAGCAGTTACGAAAGGGTTCAACTGTCATTGACGCAGTAGGGATCGTTGATACCAGATTTAATGCAATCTCAATGAGACATATATCAATATTGAATAGGTTTATAGAGAATTTCGTATGTGTTACTTTTTAGGTTTTTTCTTGTTGTGTAACTTCATTTGAATGACCTTCATAAAGTGAGTGTCCTGTCCAGATGAGGCTGGTACTATCCCGTTTTACTTCGACAGTCTGCAGCTGTAGACTGGCACTACAATAATATATATACAATTAATCACAGGACTGGTTGATATTACAATACAAACAAATGAATACATGTGGACACAATGATTAAGCAGTACAGAGGACATTACTTTTAATATTTAAATAATACATTATCAAAAATATTTCTATTAAGAAAAACATGTTTTCATTTGTTAACCCTAATTAATTGTTCAACTCTAGTCTGGTCCATTTTTATGAACAATTTTGCATGTGTGTACAGTATGCGTCTTAAATAAGGCAGTACCATTTCATCTTTGGTTCAGCTAATGGGGAATATATGAAATGAAATGAAATGTTGCCCCTTTTCTCCAACAGACTGGTGTCCTCCAAAGGTTTCAAAGCACCTTGGTGGTCGCAGAGCACAACAATGACACGCTGACCCCGATTACACTAAATGCCATCACTGCTGCCAGTAAGCTGGGCGGAGAGGTAACCTGTCTGGTGGCTGGAACAAACTGTGCCCAGGTAGGCAAAGCTTTGTTTATTGACTGGCTTAAGGATCAAGAAACCTTTTGTATTTGAAATCATTTGGACGTTCACCAAACTGCAGTAATATAGTAATGCAAAAAACATTCTGATAAATAAAGACACCGTATAGTAAATAATTTATAAAGTGCATGTTGAACATGCTTAAAGAGAAGAAGATAATATAGAGCAAGGAAATATAGATACATCAGATTTTCTGTGTTTTCAGGTTGTAGAGCAAGTGAGCAAAGTACAAGGTGTGCAGAAGATTCTGGTTGCCCAACATGACTCGTACAAAGGTTCCCTGCCAGGTATGTAACAAACAAGAAACTTGATGCCTACTGTTTATTCAACCTCACAGAGCTAAATATATATTACACATTTCTGTTGTTGTTTTGCGCAACAAGCTGCTTCATATTTGCACTCTGACTTATTCACAGCTAGATGATGTAGTGCTTGGCTTGCTCAAGGGCATCTTGGCAGTAGTTACCAAGGGAGAGGAGACCCGTGCTCATATGTTAAAGCTGGACTGTACTGGCACCGCTGCGGTCAAAGGCACCTGATACGTGATTTAGTGTCAGCTGTCTGGTTTTCTTTTCTTCCTCAGAGGAGTTAACTCCACTTATCCTGCAAACACAGAAGCAATTCAATTTCACCCACATCTGTGCTGGAGCATCTGCCTTCGGAAAGGTAAGACAAGGACAAGGACAGTACCTGCATATCTTAGTTTTGAAAAGCTTAAATCAATGTTCTTCTCTTATTGCCCAGTCAAGATGAGCTTCTGTTCTACAAAAAAAAAGAGAGCCTCTGCTTTAAATATGCTAATTTCGCAAAGATATCCTCCATTCCAAAAAAACTGTCCGTTCATCTAACTTCCATTAAGTCTCCAACCAGTTTGATCAGTGCGTACTTCCCTGCTTACTCACCCTTTTGTTCTGCAGAACCTGCTCCCCAGAGTGGCTGCCAAGTTGGATGTTGCTCCAATTTCAGATATCATTGAGATCAAGTCTCCAGACACCTTTGTCAGAGCCATTTATGCTGGTAAGACCTTTCATAATGGTAAAGAACTAACACATGTTTTGTGTAACCTTGACATGCGACATGTTAGCTGGATTTGATACAGCCTTGATATGACACAAATAAGCTCGAAAGGCTTTCATTGATTATTTGTTGGTGCTTCTACTATCTTGATTTATATAGGAAATGCTCTCTGCACTGTGAAATGCAATGAGTCGATCAAGATCTTCACCGTCAGAGGGACATCCTTTGAGGCCGCTTCAACAGAGGGAGGAAGTGCTACATCTGCAGATGGTACCGTAACTTATAGATTCACTCGCAGACCTCTGAGACATTCATGTAAAGAAATGATTGTTATGAATGTTGAAGTATTGCTATAGGTTTCATTTTGATTTAAAAATGATTAAAAAGATACAGGAACTACAAATGTTATTTTTTTTTCTCATTACAATATATATATTTTAATACAGCGTTCCTCATCGTCATTTCTGATACTTGTATCCCTTAACAGTAGTTACCTGTCCTCCTCCCGCTGGAGTTTCTGAGTGGCTGGAGCAGTGTCTGACAAAGAACGACCGTCCAGATCTGACCAGCGCCAAAGTTGTGGTGTCAGGAGGTGGGAATCTGAAAAAGCAACGTCTCCATTTGTTTGCAAAGCCACTTTCTGTGATGGCGTTACAAAGTAGACTCATGGTGTGTTTCTTTCCCAGGACGGGGCTTGAAGAGTGGGGATAACTTCCAGCTGCTTTATGACCTTGCTGACAAGATGAATGCTGCAGGTAAAAGGGGTTTTCATTTTGTGTTATTAATTAGTTTTCAGTAAATGTAAGTTTTAACTGCATATTATTCCTATTCCAGTTGGTGCATCCAGAGCAGCAGTGGATGCTGGGTATGTTCCCAATGACATGCAGGTTGGACAGACGGGCAAGATAGTAGCGCCGGTAAGTTATTATTTCCCCGAAGTGCTTATTCAAATGTATTCCTCTTGTACAGCATGCCAAGAAAAATAATCCACAGTATATTTTTAAATAACAAAATATGAAGTCACCTTTTTACAATCATGTTAAAAGGCAGGAAACACTTGAACTCAGGTCAGAGTGGACAAATGTGTCCTGCTTAAGACAAATGCCTTTTTGCCTTCACACGGCACGCTTGCAATTCAGTATGAACAGGGTTGCTGCTCTGCCCTTTTTAAAAGGTTAACTTCCCATTATGCGATACAGCCGGGTTACCCTAGCTCTGATTATCCACACATTAGGCCCTGGAAAATGTACTTGATGGCACATTTAGAGCCCTAACTGATTTAGCTGCTCCATTACAGCAGAGTGCACAGGATGCCTGCTCAGAGACTCAGACCGGGCGAGACTGCACAAATTAGATTTTTCAAATGTTATGACAAGCTGGTTGAATTCGGCTAAATTGAATAAATGTCTTTTATAATCTTGTTTAATTTCTCAAAAGGATTCACATTTGTGCATATAAGATCGTCTCCTCTTCAGATTCAAGTAGAATTTATCAATAAACTAGTGATGTTAGAGGGTACATCTTCCGATTCGTTGTCATTTCTGTAGTCATAAGACACTATTGTGTTGAAACACTGATGCTCTGCTCTTCTGAGGTTTCAGCTGCAACATTAAATAAGCACTGAAATATTAATATGGCAGAGATGGTTTTCCCAGTGAGTTTAGGGGAGATATGGGGACGGCTGACCCTTTGCACACCCGCCCCAGCTCTGACCCTCCGATAGATTACACAGCGTGGTCATTAACCCGTCCGTCAGCTCTGAGATGAACCTTTCCCAGAGGCCAGAGATCCCACTCCATGTCTACAAGCGAGTAAAACTAGTTTGGTTGTGTTCTGTTCGTGTCCTCAGGAGCTGTACATTGCTGTCGGTATCTCTGGAGCTATTCAACACCTGGCTGGAATGAAAGATAGCAAGGTAAAGTCACTGGAGCCACATGTTCCCCAACCTCCCATTTCTTACCACTTCTTCCTATGCTTTTTCCTTTGATCTGCTTTTCCCCCCATTTATTTAACCCAGACGTTTGATGTAGACTTTCTGAAAACGAATGATATCAAATAGCCTAAATTCCTTGATCGATCACAGACATTCGTCAGAATTTGTAAAAGCAGATGTAGCCTTGCTCCAAAGGAATTGTTATTGCATAGGGTAATTTAAAGTAAATGTCACACAACAATGAGTACGGCAGCAGCACAGCATCAAACATAACTCTGGTTGTCATACCCTTTAATATGATGTCCAATGTTGGGCTGTTTTGATAAAAATTGAATATATTTATTAAGTAATATTTGTTCTTATGCTTTAACTTTGGACCATCATGTTGTTAATCCTGTTTTTTCTTTTTCTTCAGACTATTGTTGCCATCAACAAGGACCCAGAGGCTCCCATTTTCCAGGTGGCTGACCTTGGTTTGGTCGCTGATCTTTTCAAGGTAAAGGAGATTGATACTGCTGCAGTAATGTCACTAGGATCTAACATTAGGAAACAACGGTCAAAACAGCTTACGCACCTTCTGCCACGACTTACTGTGTTTTGATTGCCAAAAGTGACAGAGGGTATTACAGTTGCTTTCTCACTGATACATTTAGCAGGATGCCTTATTCAACCCCTAAACTGTTGAATTATTAAGTTCTTGAATTGATCAGAGAACAGTCTGCTTGAAGATGAAAACAAATAGCCCCTCAGAAGCTATAAAAAGTGATCGATAGTTAGTCAGAAGATGGCTTTAGTTTTGTATTCAGCTTCTACCTGCCAGACATTTCACACGCTTAGTAGCTTTCTTGTATGCAGCTGGTTCTTGAGGATAGTGAGCCAGGAGTGTTGGCAACACCAACTGGAGTCCAGTGCTGCTTGTGAAAGCTAGCAGGTCATGTCATGTTTTATTTATCCCCTCAGCATCATGAGCAGCACAGGTGTCCTGACAAACTCTGTAGAAGTGATTAGTAATAATAGCTAGTGGCAGCAGAGTTGTGACCTACTGGGTGAGATCAGCTTACATGTGATCACTCCTCGGCTGATTAAAATGGATGGGCTCTCTACTTTTCCCCCCAAACAGACAATTGATACTTCAGACAACTCAGACAGGGACTGATGATTCAGTTCTGAAGCTGCTCCACTCACAAGCAGAGACATTTGAATAATTGTATACTTATATTGTTTACTTTGAAAGGCTTTTTGAATTTGTCTTGCTTCAAACAGCATGTTCATTTATGGGCCAGATGCCTCCGCTGCAAAGTCTTGCTCTGCATTTGTCAACCTTGCAAACGCTGAGATAAATGTTTGAAGCCGCTAGATAAATCTCAGATGAAAGTCAGTGTGCTGCTCATGTATACCGTTAGTATAAAAGTGCATGATGGTTTGTTTAATAAAGTCATAAATCTTGTATCGCTGAATACGCTGGGGATGAAAATGGCAGGTGCTGGAGAACATTTATCCCCACATGTGAAGCCTGGCTATATCTCAACTGGTCTCAGCAGTTGTTAATTCAGAACAGAAGTGTATAACAATGCCTAAAATATGTCAACAGTGTTATCAAGTTTACTTTACAAGTCATTGGTTTTAAAGTACAGCGGAACAATTACACACATTGTATTGGACTTTTCAGCACTGTAGCGAGCTCCAGCAGTAAAACACTTTACAGAAAGAATCCCAGGTTTTCTCCTGCCATAATATCAAGGTAAATGTTTGTTAAAATATTATATTTAAGCCTCTGCTCTTTTTTCTCTTCAGGCTGTCCCTGAGATGACTAAAGCTCTGGACAAGTGAGGAGGAACCGGTCAGACTTCCATCACATAGCCACTGCCTTAACAAATACCTGAAGTTGTGAGTGTTTGCATTCAGAAAAAGACTTTCACCATCTTCCCTCTGACTGGCAACAGACACAAATTATCAGTATAGAAATAAATGCCAGTTTTTATCGATAATATACATGTGTTTAATATCAACAAATAAGCTTGTACTGACCTTGGGGCGGTGTCTGATGCCATTGGTAGTACAAATGTTGTAATTTGTATTTAATTCTCTGGTACAGCAAAGGACATCTTTGGGAACGCTTGCCTCTCTGACGTACTGTAAGATGTAGCGCTTCATGCTAGCCTAGAGGATGTGTACTCAATGAGATGCTTTTGGAAAATAATGTATTAAATTGACAACTAATAACTTTTCGTCATGTTTTTGTCTTTATTGGATTCATTTTGCAATGCCCTCTCCCCACGATCAAGATAGAAAAGGCCTGTTGACAGTACAATAAACAGGGTTGGTTTTAATATTTAAGAGGCAAATCTTGAAGGTTCATGCTATAATTTTCATGTGGCTCCACTTCAAGTCTTTCACAATGTTTGGCTGTGATAAACCCATTCTAAAATATGTATACAGCTTCCAAACATTTGAATCATAAAACACTTTCGACCTAAATGATATGAAACCTGTCATTTGCAGGTAGCTTTATAATGCATTTGGTGCTTGTGGGACATGCTGTAGTTTGAACCCAGTCATGGTACCTGGATAAAAACGGAATCACTTGAATGACCCACCAGTCAAAATTTGCCACACTCCCAGAATTTAGATACAAATGTTGACTAATATAGAAAGACAAAGATTAGAAATAAGCTGAGACTTATCCAATGTACCCTGCATCAGTCCCATGAAAGAGGGCTGTTCTTTGTGAGTTTGGAGACACTAGACTGACTATCAAAACAGCTGATACACTTGCACATACATCCATGCCTCCTAGCTTACAGGAAGTGTTTCACAGTCCGTGGCTCTCCAATACATGAACCCATGTGTTCAACACCTTCAATTCCTGCAAAGTGTATCTGAGAAACTAAAGCTCCTCACTGGTTTCACTTCCTGCAAATCAAACCACATCAAAAGCCAGATTTCTTTTTTCTGCATGGACCAGTTGTCGGAAAATGTCGGGCTTGAGCCCTGCTGCTGGTTTCTTTTGGTAAAATATTTCATAAAACTCAAAACGTGTTTCTGTGAGTGTCAATTCCTGATAAGTGGTGCCTGATAACGACTCGCGTCCTCCAGTGTTTCATGTTTTTGTGCTGTTCTGGCAGGCTCATCCTCTCAGTCCCAACAGTACAAAGAGGATGATTGACAAACTGTTTATATGCCAGTGACTCCCAACAACACCGGAGTTAAGCTGAGCGTTTTAAAATCGAGTCCTGTGAAGCTGCACACGTCAGGCGTAGTTCTATGTCTCTGACAGGCGGTGGACCGGAGTGTCTACCTTCTCCATCATCCTGTACTTCTCCTCCAGAAGATGCTCGTTGCCCTGCAGGTGGATGAGGGGCTTGGAGTGCAGCCCCACCCGGCTCTCCTGGTTCCTCTTGTTGTAGATGTTGAGCCTGTGCTCCAGCTCGGGGCTGGTTTTGGTGGAGCCTGTGGGGCTGGGCGGTTTAAGGTTGACAGGGTCCAGGCCTTTCTGGGCGAGGCAGGAGTTCTCGGTCAGAGAGGAGAGCAGCTCCTGCATCACAGCGCTGGGGGTCCCTCGCGGCTGAGGGCCCAGGGCCAGAGGGCTGCTGTAGGGTGGCGGGTAGCAGCGCTGGTCGCTGTAATCCGTGGAGGTGGAGGCCTCCCTCACCGTGGAGCTGCAGTCCGTGGTGGAGCCCAGCGTGTGGCTGCTGACGCTGTGCTGCCGGGCGCTGAAGCTGCTGCGGGACACCGTGGTGGTGGAGGCTTCGCTCACAGAGCTGCCGGTGCGCTGCAGGCGGCTGGACGGCACCGCGTCCACGCTCACCAGAGAGGAGGGGAGCTGGCTGTGGTTGTTCGGCAGGTGCACATCTATGGCTGCTGTCGTGATGACACGCGCTGGGTCTGGGATCCCCATGTCTGCAGAAAGAGCACATAATGCAGAGGGCAGTGAAATACTGTTACATAGGATGGAACAACAACATTAAGCAGGATCTCGTTTCTGCTCACCGCTGCTTTGCTCACTGTAGTACTGGCTGATGTAGTTGTTCATGTCATCTTGACCATGGTGATCTGAAAAGAATAAAAGTAGCCACTTAATCCTTCACAGATATAATGAAAGTGTGAATTTAGAAGTTCATTGTAGGTTTATTCACAGTTTGAAATAGTTATAACCCTTCCAACTTAGTTATCTTGAAAAAATGAAAAGCAGCAACATAACTTTACTTTCTCTAATTATTTAATAAATGGTTTATTAGTTTATTATACAATATACTGTTTTTAAAGGTATTCATTTTATAATTATATAAAGAAGAAAATAATGGGCATTTTTGCTTGTTAAACCAAAAAATAAATGTTCAATAATTAAAATAAAAGACATGACCTATTAATAATAATCAACAAATTGTTTAAGTGTTAATGAAATGCATTTGTTGTGGATGAGGTCCACAGATACTAAATCAGACCAAGTGTTTAGATAAAGTGCTGTCCAAGGATCCGCAGGACTGTTGCCATATATTCATTTATGTATTGGTTTCACATATTAATGTTATGACTGTCCCAAGAGGGAGCACTCATTATTCAGCCTTTAGTGGGACAGGGACCATCTCCAGATGATCAATACCATATGAGTAGGCCTATATGAGGAGAGGCTCAGATGTAAGGCAGGTCCCACGATGATTTAGCTTTGATAAAGGAAAACCTCAGTGTTCCGAGCCCTGACAGCGATTTGTTGACTAAGTCATGTAACTTATGACTTTATGAAAGCTTTATAGTTAATTGCGGTGCGGGAGCGGAAATTTCGATTCGTAGACAAATGTTTTTGAAAAGAGGGCACCAATTAATAAACACACTACGCTCCAGCATGCAGCTTAAGAGGATTTGTTTAATGGTTAAAGAAGCAGCAAGGATATGCTGTGCTTTTAGACATATGTTACTAGACTAGCATACGTTACAATCCTTTAATATATCTTTAGTATTGTGTTATGTCGGAAAGAGTTTTGCTGCTCAGGATGAGGGAGGATTTTCGAGTTTTTTATTTTTCAACATAGACCATGCATTTAAATCTGCAACCTTCAAACATGGGGTCTTGCATTTAAATTCGGTATTGATGAAATTCATAAAAATGTAATAACGTCTTGTTAATTCTATTTCTTTCAGCTGTCACATTTTTCAGCTGTCCCCTGCCACATAACTCAAAGTTATGTTCCAAAAAAGACACACAGCGCACAATAAAAACAAAAATTGAATTATTGTATTATTTGCTTCTTCTAATTTTTTATAGACAGCGCAACATATCGATAATGGGAATTATTTAAGCTGTGATAATTGAGCAGTGAATATCTAAAATTGGGACAGCCTCACTCCCAACATGACCCAACTGTTTCAAGCCTCTCTTGCATTGAAAGCCCCCCCAACTCTTGTGCACAGAGGTTTTTGAAAGCCTGTAACAATGAAGTCAGGTGTTCCAGACGGTTACCTGCAGCCCCCCCGGGCTCTCTAGCTTTAGCTGGCCCGTGATGCTCGGAGGCCCCAGGGGCCAGGCCGTCCATCTCCTGGAAACTGCTGCTCTGTTTACCCCACATGTGGTGGATCTGCATGGCCGCTTCACGCTCTGCCACCAGATCCAGGTCCTGCTGCGCCAGGTGGGCCCTCAGCTGCCGGATTTCAAACTGAAGAGACAGAGAGACAAATGGCAGAACTGGAGGAAACTCTTCATAGTCGGTTTAACACTTACAACGTACTGTATATTCTACTAATTTCACATGTTTATGTCAAAGCTTGTTGTTTGTTATGAGGTTGCTTTACTTGCACCGCAGTTAACCTTCACGTATACGGTACAACAAGTTTATGCCAACCTCTTATTTCTAACCTCTAACATTTTGCAGTTTAACTTACAGGCATACAGACACTATTCTCTTCCTCTGGGCTGACAACTGAGAATAAAGAGCACTCTTATAAAGTTAAACCTGCAAATGCCTTGCAAACAATATTAGGATCATCATTATTACATTGTGAAGTAGTCAATACATTGAGATAATGCACAGTGCTGGCTATCTGATATCCATCAGACTTCTGTAAAAGTATTATCTGGTGATAATATGGGATACAATTTGAAGAGCATCTTTTTATGGCTTTTTGAGTACAATTTATTTCTTGCATAGCGATCTGCTGCCCTCTGCTGGTGAAAAGCAGCTATATATTATAGACGGAAAGCAGTAAATATACTTGAGAGAGATAGGAGCACATACTGCCTGTTCCTGGCAGATCTGGGTTAGACGGTCAAGCTGTTCGTCCCTCACCGCCTTTGCCTTCTCATACTGCTGGATCTCCAGCTCCATCTCCACCTTCACTTGCAGCACATAGGCTAAAAATAAATAGGACATATAATAGTTTACTACTGATAAAAGTGTCATCTTGTGTCAGTTGATCATCTTAATTACAGATAAACAGTTTATTATTTCTTCCTCTCAAAGCAGATCTTGTCACATTTTTGCACACTCTACCAAAACGTAGGTGGATAAAATAACAAATGCTTTAACATAGTAAAGCATCAATTCAATTCAGATGTTTTGAGGTTGTTTTAGAACCGGTGCTTATTCTATGCTAAGCTTTTAGGCATTCATTGTAAGTGTTGTATTGTGTGTGTTTATCAACACGCACTGCACTATATCAAAAAAACCACAAGGGGGAGCAACACTGATACAAAGACAAATAATTCTTCCTAATAAATACTCTGTGTGCACCTTTAGGATAAAGTCATTTGAAGCTTGAGCTCCAAAACAACAAATTATGTCATACCAGGTGAAAAATAAAGCCACAAAACAAACATTGAGACGAGAACCTCCAGATTGAATGTATCCGATACCGCAGAGAGCACACTGCAGTATCTATCTGTGTGACCTGACAGTTAAGGACAGGATGCAGAGGACACCCCCCCCCCTCTCAGCCTCACCATCAATGATCCTCTTCACCCTCCAGATGCGCAGTGTGATGATCAGACCAATAGCATCCCAGGGGCTGCTGGGGCCGTTGGCCACTGTGGAGGCCACCATGGGGGCCAGAGAGAGGGACGATGACAGCTCCATCAAACACCGGAGAACACACACACACACACACACACACACACACACACACACACACACACACACACACACACACACACACCACACACACACACACACACACACACACACACACACACACACACACACACACACACACACACACACACACACACACACACACACACACACACACACCACACACACACACACACACACACACACACACACACACACACACACACACACACACACACACACACACACACACACACACACACACACACACACACACACACACACACACACACCACACACACACCACACACACACACACACACACACACACAACACACACACACACACACACACACACACACACACACACACACACACACACACACACACACACACACACACACACACACACACACACACACCTCAGTGGTATGACATTGAGGAAATGACACTGCAGTGAAAGGGGTCCAGAGTAACAGGACTAATGGCATCCATGGGAGCTTACCTCTACTTTGTTCTCTATGTAATCCCATATCCCCAGCACCACGATCCTGAACACTGTCTGAAACACACAGATGGAGGCAGAGACAGGTTACACACACGGGGAGACTGGCTGAGGCAGAGCATGCTGGGTAGTAATTCAGCATAATAAACCTGACACTCCTAGTTAATGGCATTTGCAGTTGTGATTAAGATTTCTCTCATCCCTCCACGGTAATTCATCAATGACATCTTATTCATCACAGGCAGTGTGATAGGGGTTCATCCAAACAATTAAAGACATTGCATTTAGCTTATTCTGTGGACGCAGCAGGGGCTGCAGAGGGTGAATAACTCTCCCTTTGTCGATGTGCCTCTTCTGCCTCTCTGAGCCTTCGTCCTTATTTCAGGTTTGCAGTGGAGCAGAAACCAGCCGGCCTGCTGTTTGTACTCTTTCTATGCATCATTGTCGGGGGGTTGCTGTTTTATTGATAAGTAAAACTTCAGCTACACACAAGTTAGCAGTGGGGTGGTCAAGTGTAGGAAACTAAGATGAATGTGGCTCGCTGTAAAGAAAATGGAAATCAATAGACACCTGAGGCCTTACAATTATTTAAAACTAGGAGCACCGAAAAGCTCCATCTGCATTTTAAAGTGTTTGTGCGGCTGATCAATGGACTAACCTGAGGGGGAGCAACTGTGCCGGCTTTAACAACACCAGATAAACAAGTTTTATTTCACAATACTGAAGTAGATCTTTGTTGAGTGATTTCGCAGTACACTTTTAATGTATCCATTCCCGAGGTCACCTCTACCAATCAGAATCTGATCAAGCTGTGACACAGGACACGGGGCGTTTCATGCTGTTGTTAGTATTATAATGAGGATCTGTCGGTGTACTTCACTGGCCCCACATACTGCACAATTTAGCATTAATGGACAGGTCGCTGCATCAGCTGTAAGTGAGACTGTTTTTGTGTTGAGCAGAGGAAAGATGGAGACTCACCTCGGTGAAGAACACGGAGAGAATGGCCAGACTGATCCAGTGGATGATGCTGGCAAACTGGAATGCATTATTAACTGTAGGGAGAAAACAGAAGAACATATTTTTAAAAAACGTTTCCTGTTTCTGTTTAAGAAATGCGTGCGAGCGGTTACCTGCTGCGAAACGTTAAGAGGGTGTTGCAAAGTGGTAAAAATGAGCACATTTCAGCACACAGATACATAAAAGCGCAGGCAAAGGCATTAAGCAGCATCATAAATATGAATTCAACATATACACGCATGTGTCTGTATCTTCCCGTTTATTCATCAGGCTAATTGTGGACAGCCTGTAACAGCGCTCGGCTGTCAGCTGAGGCCTTTCTCTTCACGCGCGACTTCTCCTCCCATCTGTCTTTGTTTGCCGTGTTCAGTGATCTGTCTATCTGTCCGTTTATCTTCCTCAAGTCCTCCCCACATTCATCCGCCAGCCAACTCTGTATAGTCTGATTTCTTTGTCCACTAATCTCCCGTCACGCATTTGTCTTACTTTTCCTTTGTCTGCCCTGTGTAGTCAGTCAGTCAGTCCTGTGGGAACAGTAAGGACTTGTTTGGATACTGCTGGAGCGGCATTTCCACCACATATGTTCTTCACTCAGCCCCCTCTCATCAAACAGGTATGACCCCTGACCTTACCATTATGATAAATGAGGACGTCTCCACCATGCCACATGATGTATATGAAGGTGAACCTGGGGTGATATGGGTCACAGTGGTATTTCGACCACTTGACATTTTGTGTTAACTGTGGAATACTAATTGGAGGATTATATTCCCCAGACCATGATTGATCAGAGCCCCAGGACCCAGGATAAATCACTGACTCGTTATACAGAACACATATCAGCACACACAATCATATATGTGTATTGTTTACATCCAAAACAATCCTGAACAACCAAACATCATTATAGTATAGTGTCTAGTATAACGTTTTGTAAATATGGTGATTTAAAAATAAAATGAAACACCTTTTGTCCTTCTTTAAAAGTAATATCTTAGTACAATTATGTCATACATTCTGGCAAATGTTTATAGCCAAATTCAAATCACTAGTCTAATGATCAATACAGTCAATTTGCTTTAATTTAGGCAGACCAGAGCGCCCAAAAGGTAAATGTATAGTACAGTAAGGAGGAGTTTAAAAGAAAAGAACATCATGTATATTGGGTCACAAACACTGATATATGTGCAAAAAGCTAATTTACATTGTTGACTTATACATTAGTCTGGCTAATTTTTGGTCTTGCTTTAGTGTTGATGTTCTGTGTTGCCATCATTTAAGCATATTTAATCTAACATTGTTATGTTTTGATTGGCTATAACAAAATAACTCTTGCCAGAAAAAGCAGGTGACTTGCTTCTTGCAGTGCTTCTTGTTTTCATTAGTAAAAGGTGTTACCTGTGTTATATAAGGTGCATGTTAATGCCAATCCTTAAGAAACACCTTTACCTTCACATATCTATTTCAACAAGATATGTTTTTCCTACTGAGAAAATATTTGTATTTGCTTTAAGCTTAATGAGCACCTCAATTTATAGATATCCTTCCATCCAAACTGCAGTTCATCCTCATGAGATGCAGAATAAATGGTCTACCTGCAGCTTAGTGTTTTTGCTAATTATGTTCTCCTTTGTCATATATCTCGAACCCATGTATCGACCCATTGCCTTTGCATAGCAATTAGCAAACAATTGTGCTGAGTTGTCCACTTTTCTCCCTCTTGAAGAATGCTACTGTGGCCCAGGACCATAAACAATGAGTGTAACGAATGAAATCCCTGGTATATCTACATCCCCATTTGTGTGAATAACCTCAGGTGACATCACTCATTGGCTTGTTTCACTCACACTGCAGCAGCTTGGTGTCAATGAGCAGCTCCAGGGTCAGCAGCACCACCACCAAGATTACGCAGGCCACCAGGAAACAGTTGAAGCCTGCCGACAGCAGACAGACCTGCCACAGCGCGGCCCTCCGCCCGCAGCAGGGCTTCAGCCAGTTGGACCTGACAGAGGGGGGGAGAAGGCCGTTAGAAGAGCTATGGGTGCAGAGATAAATGGGACTTGTTGCTGTGTTACATTGAAACTCATTGCGGATGTACAGATCTGACAGGCAGCAAGCTAGGTCAAATCAACGAAACACTAGAAACATTGAGATACGCAAATGGTGAGATGTATTAAATCTAGACTTTGTTCAGTCACCGTTTTTCTAAAGATTTATCAGCAGAGGGCACTATTCTGCCTACACATTCAGACCATAGATGTTCATTCAAATGTATTCACACTCTAATGTGAAGCATACATACATGTTCTGCTGGCACTGAGATAATTTAAAAGTATAAAGTATTTCTGTTCATAAATTCATAGTGTCATTTCTCTTCTCGTCTCTGGATAAAGCGATTCAATGTTGCCTTTCTGCAACCTCCTTAATACCTTCTTTAGTTTACTATCAGTGAACTCTTCTTACTATAACAGCCATCAGTTTGTTTATACCTATTTTTGGAAACGGATTACATGACGTCTGTTTGAATCCAAATTCAGGCATTAAATCATCTATTTGTAGCACTCCTTCCTGACTGAGTATCTAGGTGGTGATACCTAACTCAGTGTGTTTTATGGTCTCTATTTCTATCTACGTTGAGACTTATGACACGCATTAAACCTTACAGTATGTTCGAGAGAGATTAGAGTCTCTCTGTTAATTCCTCTCCCTGCTGCTTCCCTGTGTGACAGGACAGGTCTCTGGGTGAAAACTAGCTGACTGGCTGAATGCCCATCTGTGTGATTGTTTTTCTAACAACCTGGTATGGTAGTTCTACTTTTGTTAAAGCTCTGGATGACTGACTAGCTAGCTGGCTGTCTGGATGTTGTGGCTCTCCTGGCATGACAATGGAGCTTCATGAATCACCAGTCCGCAGGCATTACAGGCTCTGCCCTTGCATGGTTCAGGTCTTATTTGACGGACCGTAGCTTCTCAGTGCAGTTAGGTGTCTTCTCCTCTGCCAAAGCCCCTCTTACCTGTGGGGTTCCCCAAGGCTCGATTCTGGGCCCCATCCTTTTTCTATTGTACATACTGCCCCTAGGTTCAATTCTCACAAAACATAATATCCCCTTCCATTGTTACGCTGATGATATACAGATTTATCTGCCTCTCAATCAAAATGCCAACTCACTACAGCAGTTGATGAACTGCTTAACAGAGATTAAATCCTGGCTGAGCCAAAACTTCCTCACCCTTAATGAGAGCAAGACCGAGGTCATCTTTTTTGGACCCCAACCAACAGTCTCCCCGGTTGATATTCTGGGCTCTCTCAATAAAAATATCCTCCCCTCTGTTATGAACCTTGGAGTGACCTTCAACAGCGCCTTTACATTTGATAAGCAGGTTAGTACTGTAGTCAAGACCTGCTTTTTCAAAATACGACTATTGGCTAAGACCAAGTCGTTTTTATCTTTTAAAGACCTAGAAAGGGTTATTAACGCCTTTGTTACCTCGAGACTGGATTACTGCAATGCTCTGTATGTGGGTATGGACCAGGCCTCAATTAGACGCCTCCAGCTAGTTCAGAATGCAGCTGCACGTCTTCTCACTGGCCATAAAAAGCGTGACCATATCACCCCAATTCTGGCTTCATTGCACTGGCTTCCAGTTCGGTTCAGAATAGATTTTAAACTCCTTTTATTTGTTTTTAAAGCCCTAAATGGGCTGGCTCCTGCTTATATAGCCGAACTCCTCCATCGCTACACCCCAGGCAGAGCCTTAAGGTCGGCTGATCAGCTGCTGTTGATAGTGCCTAAGACCAGGCTTAAAACCCGAGGGCATCGAGCTTTCGGCTCTAGGCTCTGGAATACTTTGCCCCTCCATGTGAGGTCGGCCCAGACCCTGGGGGTTTTAAATCAATACTTAAAACTCACTTTTTCTCTCTGGCTTTTGTTTAATTATCTATTTATTCATTTAGTTATTTATTTATTCATTTAGTTCTTTATTTTTAATATTTATAACATAACATAGGATTTCATAAAGTATTTTTTAAATAGTTTATACATTATTCAAATATAGGAATAGTAGATTACTTAAAATATAGTACCTTATATTTCATATTTTTTCCCTTTAGACCCTGCGGTTTATTCTTAAAAACCCTTACCCTTACCCACCCCCCATTTTCCCTCTGCTGGTCTATAGCCTTGTAAAGGGTAACGGGGTACAGAGTCGCTTAGATAAGCGGGGGAGTGCATCTGACGAAGAGATAGGTTGTTGTGCTCCCTATCTCTGTTTCTTATCCTATATCTAATATAACTGCTCGGGTCTTGAGTGGGGAAGTTCATGAGATCTTTCTAGAGGGTTATCAAGAATAACTTTTATCCAATGACCTTTTCCCTCTCTGTCTGTGTCTGTGTATTCTCTTGTTCCGATTAACCCAGCCAAATCTTTTTTCTTGTTTTGTATCTATATCTACGCCGGGATCCGGAGTCGAGGCTGATCCTCTATCCTGAGTTCTGCATTAAGTCGTGGACTTCGGGTCGTGGCTGAACCTGTCTCTGCGGTCCTGCCTTGGGTCTCGTCATGCTGCTTCCCTGATGGCTTCCACAGGATTGTAGCTGACATCCTCGTGGATTCATCTTCTTATTACAGACACATGCATTTCCTAACATTCGGTCTATATGCTGTAAAATGTATTATCTCTTCGATTTACACACGGCATCTATTGCACGTCTGTCAGTCCTGGGAGAGGGATCCCTCCTCTGTTGCTCTCCCTGAGGTTTCTCCCATTTTTTTCCCCTTAAACTGTGGGTTTTCTCTGGAAGTTTTTCCTTGTACGATGTGAGGGTCTAAGGAAAGAGGGTGTCGTTTTTCTCATACTGATATTCTGAACAATCTGTGCTGTTGTATTTGCTGTAAAGTGTCTCTACTGTAGGCTATTTTTATTATATGTACAGCACTTTGGCTCGACCAAAATTCATTTATAAATGTGCTATATAAATTAAACTTGATTTGATCTGGGTGCAGTCACACCTGGCTGACTGGTTGTTGAGAGAGCATCACAGTGGAGGCATGACATTGGGTTTGTTATAATAAAACACATATATTTCCTGATCCGAGACACTGCCATTCCTACAACTGATTCAGCAGTCTCTGCTTTATACAACATACTTCCCGTTTTTATATTGTCCATTAGTTTGAAGTTTCCCAGATGTCATGTGTGGGCTTTTTTCCTTTTTCCAGGTACATTGTTCCCTGAAAATGTGACTGCCAAGGCCTCAAATCCATCCCTTCTATCCAGTTCAAGTTCCACCTCCGACTGACTCCGGGGGATTTAAAGTCAATAAATAATGTCAATCTCCACTAGCACACTGGGCTTTCCCTTCCTCTCACAGCTTTACTTTACACCCACACGCTACTCAGGTGTACTCTGAGACACAGTAAAAGAAAGGTGTGTGTGTGGGCCAGGTGTGTCATCTCTTTGAGGCAATTCTGAGAAAGGGAGTAGATTTCTTTGAAAAAAGCAGCTATCTGTTGTCACCTGTCGCCCATAGGAGGAATGCTACGGGCAATATCTGTCAGAGGACAAAAGAGGATGCAATTTATTCTACTCTCCTCAGGAAGAAGGACTGAGAGAGGAAACGTGGTGCAGGCAGTTTAAAGGCATTGGGCATCATCCAAAAGTGAACTGGAGAGAGAGCCAGGGAGGAAGGAGGGGAAGTTGGACAAGGAAGAATGGAAAAGAAAGAACAGAAGAAGAAACAGATTGAGTTAAAAGATCATTTTGGTTTACTTTAACTTGTGTCTAATTTTGACGAACAATTTCCTGAACTACAACCAAAAAATGTATGTCCAAAACAGTAATATGTTGACTTTACTAAGAGACAATGAAAAGTATTTATATTGGAGAAGCTCAATATATGGTTTGTTTTGTACTCTATGATTAATTGAATGGTAAAATTAATACTCACAAAAACTCTTTGGTGCAACTTTCAAAAACTGTACTTGTACAATGAGGGGTTGTCATTGACATTTCAGGTATGCTTACTTCCACTTTTAACTCCTGTTACGTGCCAGGCAGGCTGAACTTGTGTGTTTCTCCTTCCCTCCTGTTTTTCTCTCTTCTCCCTGTCATCCCCACAGCTAATCAGCAGCTGATCAGTACCTGCCTGTGCACCTGAGTCTGATGGCTGATTGGATCCTCTCACCCTCAGCTGGCCTATCAGCAGCCAGGGCCGACCATAAAGGAGGCACCCAGGAAGTCTTCTCCCTCTCTCTCACTCTGGGCCTGTTGCTGATGGAGGAGCCTGAATTCGACTGCAGTTTAGAAGATCGTTCTACTTTGTTTGTTCTGACCTTTGTGAATGTGTGTGTGTTGAGAGGTGGAGGAGTTAGGTACGTCTGGGGTACCCTGTACATTTCTCATCACATAGGTAACTACTGTTTAGACACACTAGGTTAGCGGATTGTTGCCACCCCTGTATTCTGTTTTGTCCAGTTCTGAGTAGTTTAGTTAGTGAGGGTTTTTGTTTGAGTTTTGGTTTCAAAGGATAGATGTAGAGATAGGCCTGGTTTTGTTATGCTTATTTATTTTGTTTGGCACAGTCTCCTTTGCCTCCTCCTCCTCACACAGAGTATTTCTGTTCAGTTCTAGGTTTACAAGGAATAAACCTTTTGTCAACCTTTACGCGGACTCCCTCATTTTTATTGGTTGTTGTGTGTTATTGTCTCCAGGTCCCCTAGACCTTAGTGGGGACGTAACCCTCCCAAAAGAGGTGATTCTTTTATAACTTGTCTGATGGTCTCTTCTTTCTGAGCCTGTTGGACTGCATAATAGCAACGTCAGCATTTTCCCAGATCAGAGCAATAAGTCTGGAGAATAAGATTCATGGCCACACTTATACAAAAGTTATCCTTTGAGGTGAATAGAGATAGGGGATTATAGTAAGCTCTGTCGTTTTGTACGTGCAGCTGAACATCTTTTCCACCCTTCACCTAGGTCAGCAGAGAGGCTGGAGCTCGGCC